TAAAAAGTTTTCATTAAGTTTAATAAAGATAAGAGCAAGGTCTCACCTTAAATATTAAAAAAAAAAAAAAAAAAATTAATTGATTAGAAAATGAGTCGTCTTGGAGTTGTTGCAATCAGATTTTAGTTGAAATAAGGCCATTTGATGAATTTAGGTTGTTTTTAAGAATAGATAAGTATTGTACTTGTTGTAGTTGGTTTGTATCTATGAGGCTATAAGTTGAGAGTAGGTATAAGATTGAGTTAGATATACTATGAGCTAGTTTTGCTTTGGCCTTGATTATCTTAGTGCTTAGGCGGTTTAGAAAATCACAGTCTGTCTTTGGTAGATGTAAATTATATAGGCGATAGCGAAGTTTTGCTATTAGAACAGTATTGATTACATAGGTTGCTTGTTTTTCAGTTATTTTTGAAAAGTGAAGCTTGTTAATTTCTGCAGTGAACTCTTCCTTTACTCTCTTTATTGCATATTTCTTTTGGATAATATAGTCAATATATACATCAAAGAAGCAAAAAGTTTTGTGTTTGAATAGGTTATATATAGGTTGGCTATTAAATATTAGGGGGTCTGTATTATTGAAATTATTGTAGAATAAAACAAATTTTGTTGGATTAACCATAATTTGGGCAAATGAATAAAAGGATAATGCAGTAGCCAGAATGTTTGTCATTGCTTCACGATTTGGTGTGACCCATGTGGTGTCATTTATATAGGCTATTACAGAGATATTAAGGTTAATTGGTAGGTGGGGGGAGGCCACTGACATTGTGTAACTGAAGTGTTTATTGGTAATTCTGTTTATAAGTGGATCATAGAAAATTCACCAGAGAATAGATGAGATCATTTCGTCTTGTCAATGTCATTGTTGATATTGTAGGCTAGTGTTTTGCCGAGGGTGATAATGACTTGGTTCTGATGGTTGGCTAGTATATTTGCAATGAGTATGATGAATATTTCTGGAAGTTTGATTCATCATATTGCTAGTTGGAGAAGTTGTGTATTAACTGAATCATATACTTTGAACATATCTAGTGATAGGATTCAAAGCTCTTTATTAAGTAAGTGAAAGTCTTCTGTAATATGGGTTATTAATTGAATAGGGTTGAATGTTAAGGTATATGAGAGAGCAACATTGTTAGCTAGGTTTAGTATTTGAGTTTGTAATAGGCTATAGTACAATCAGTTGGTGAGTATTTTGATAAGAATCTTGTGTGAGTGTTCAATTAAGGTGATAAGATGAGTTCTATTTAGATCTCCAGGTAAGTAGCCTATCTTTGATATGGGCCATACCACACCCTTGTGCCATTGAGATGAGATTGTTTTTAGAGTAATACAAGCATTAATAATTTTTATTAGATGTGTAATTGCTGCTATAGGTAGTTTGTCTAATATTTTATTAGAGATAAGGGTGGGGCTAGTAGCTTTGTTAATAGGTGCAAGTTTTATGGTTAAAATGACTATGTCTTCAGAGACTAGTAATATTAGTTTATCATATAGATTGCTAGATAAGTCCTTTTTTGGTTTGTAGTATCTCTGCCATTCTTGGTATAGCATTGTATTGGGTGGATTGTGTTTGGTCCAGGTTTCGAAATGTTTCTTTGTTTCAATTAGTATTTCTTTGGGTTTAGTGATCATTTGTGTGGATGTTGTAATATTGTTATAGGTAATAGGTATTTTGAATCAGTGTAATATACTATCTATCATTGCAGTGGTATTCTTTGCAAAACTTGTATGTTGTTTTTTGATAAGAGATGAAATTTTTTCTGTTTGTGCCTTGTTTTTCTCGTTTGCTGTGTGTTGTATGCTACTTTGCAGATCTCTTTAAGTCTAAGCATCATGGTTTGGAAATTATTTGTTTTAAAATCTTTTATATTGAGTTGTATTTGCTTCTGCTTAAGTGATTCGCATGCTTGTTTTAGATTAGTGTTGGTTAAATGAACTATGTAATCGTGTGAGTTGCTTAAGAGTGTTGATTATATTGTTTATTCTTCTCAAGCTTTTATATTTGGTAGTGGCGTCAAATGAGTGAGGTTGGTTATAGATATTGCATTTTGTGGAGTTGGTTATATATTTGATCACTGCCTGTCTAATAATATTGCTAAAGTTATTCCAGCTTCTATTTAGTGCTTCCTTGTTTATGATTGGTGTGGCAATATAGGATGAGTTAGTAAGGTGGTAGGTAATGTATTTTACAAAATTGTTTCAGCTATTAGTATCCATTGTCTTGTAGTCAAAAACTTATCTATATTGTTTTTTTACTCTGTAGTGTAGTGGTTTGGGTCTCAGCTATGAAGTGAATAATGATTTATAATCGCTATGAGTAATTGTAGCTTGGTCTTGTAATATGATATTACTAAATGTAGCCACAATTTGGAAATTTGTCCAAATATCATCAATTTGGCTAAATAAGAGTTCTCTTGCCCAAGTGGAACTGGTATTGCCCTGAAGCTGCATGAGACTAATAAGGCCCAAGTTTGACATCTCTTGTAAGATAGAACATTGTTTTTGAAAATAATTACAGTTGGTGTTGTTGTTAAAGTCACCTGCCACAATTATGTTGTAGTTTAGTTGGAGGCTTTGGGTTATCCATATCAAAACTTCAGTTTGTGCCACTTTAGATTGTGTAGTGATTTGAGATAGTAAATATATCACTATAAGCTGTGTCTTATTGTTTGGTAAAAATAGATCGATCATTAAGGCAAATCCTAAATTAGCTTGTATTGTGTAGATGTAGGGTTGTAAATAGGGTTTGAGTCCAATTGCAATGCCCCTAGACAATTCCCTAATTGTTGCATTTTCTAAGTTGCAATTTGAGGTATATATTTTGTAAAGTGGGTTCAACAGATAAAATCTTTCTAATGTTGCTACCAGTTTGGTTTCTGTCATTACTATTATATCTATGTCTTGGCTGTAGCACTCTTCCAGCCATAATTGCAGCTTGGTTGATTGATTAAAACTTTGAACATTATAGTTAACTATTTTAGTCCTGCTAATAAGGGAGTAAGATTAGTAGATGGGTTGAGAATGATGTTGTTTTGGTATAGTAAAAGAGAGAGTAGGTGCATCATGAAGATGCATATCTTTGTATAATAATTGATCATATAGATTGGTAAATTTATTTATTAGGAACGTAGTTGTTAAAAAGTTCCCATTTAGGTGCTGGGAGTTTAGGGATATTAATAATGTAGGGTGGAATTCCCCTAAAAGTGAAATGTGTATATAAGAAAGCAATTGTGGTTTCAATTTGATGTTGCGTAGTAGCTAGGAGTCGGACATTTTCAGGTAGAATTATGTGGTCAGTAATTGCTTTAATCTCCTCTCCTCTATGGTATGTGGCAGAGGAAGTCAGTCTGTTTTTGTTGAGGATTTATTTTGGATTTGAATCCAGTCTGCTAGGATTTGTTTAAAGAAATAGTGTTTTCTTAGTAAGCAGGCAGTTTCTATAAGGACTCTTGGGCTTGTTATTGGTGTAGTCAGATTGACTAATTTCACCTCGTCTGCATTCTGAAGAAGTTCTGGTTTGTCTGTGAGGTTGACTATTATGTAAGCCTCAGGGAGTAGTAAGTTGAACCGGTATTTGTTTTGTATTGCTGCTATGAATTCTTTTGCCAAGATTACATCATTAATAGAAAATAAGAATTTTTTCTTTGTATCAATTTGTAATGGGTTTGTTGGAAGAGGTAACTTTTGTATAAAGAAGTCTGATAGAATTTGTTTGAAGCTATAGTGTTAACGTAAGATTTCAACTATGCATTGAAAATTGGTTAAGTTAATGGGGTTATATGGAAATAGATAACGAGTAGCTAAGTTGAGATTTTGAGGTGTGCTAGGTAAATGGGGTTTTACAGGTAGTAAGTTAAAGTAAGCTGGTGGGATTTCTTTGCCAACTATATAGTATTTAGTTAGTTTTTGACAAAATTGTAAGAGGTAAGGATGTTTTAATCTTTCAGTAATGGAAAAAAGATTTCTGGTTTCATTGTTAAGTTTCAAGAGGTAATCAGGAAGAGGAAATAGTTGAGTTTCAAAGTAGCTATCATGAAGCTTATCAAAGGTGTATATCTTTCTGAGTGCTAATACCACTGCATGGGTGTTGCTCCTGTTTTTAATAGGTAGGGTAAAAGGTAAAATTGCTATGATGTTTTCTGTAATAGCTCTAGAAGAAGATGGTAATAGTTTTAAAAGCGTTGTATGGGCAGAGTTGAGGGTGGCTCTAATCTTCTTAAATTCAAATTGTGTAGGTATTTTGGCAAAGTTAAGAAGGTAAGTGATGTATCTTGTGACATCATGTGGGTTCTTTAGCATAAGTTCAAGTTGTATAGGAAGTTAAGAGCAAGTTTAGCTTTAAGCCTCTAAAATAGTTGGTCATAGTTTGTTTTGTTTATATACTGAACTTCATGGCAGTGTTTGTATTTTTCTGTTACAATGTGTAAAAGAGTTTCAAATAGTGTTCCTATGAACCGAACTGAAACTGAACTTTGGTCAAGTTCAGGTTCAGGTTCAGTTCAATCATGTTCAAT